ACCACAACTTGAGCCCATTGCTCCTTGTTCTGCCATCTGTCATCACTGAGATTAGCCTCTCTCCAGCCTCCTTGGAACCTCCCTTCAGATAGTTAAAGGCTGCTATCAACTCCTCCCTCACTCTTCTCTTCTGCAGACTAAATTAGCCCAAATCCCTCAACCTCTCCTCATAGGTCATGTGTTCCAGCCCCCCAATCATTTTGGTTTGCCCTCCTCTGGACCCTCTTCAATGCATCCACATCCTTCTGTAGTGGGGGGCCGAGAACTGGACGCAATACTCCAGATGTGATTTCACCAGAGCCAAATAAAAGGGAATAATCACTTCTCTAGATCTGCTGGCAATGCTCCTCCTAATGCAACCTAATATGCCATTTGCCTTCTTGGCTACAAGGGCACACTGTTGGCTAAGGTTGACTTTAAGTTAGGATAAGAAGAAGCTACATACAAAAGTTGAAGGTCATAGTTCTTACCACTTAGGAGTAGTTCTTGAACAAAAGGACTCACAGACAGACACACAAATCTCTAAGGGTATGTCTACACTAGCCCCCTAGTTTGAACAAGGGAGGCTAATGTAGACATACCCTTAGAGATTTGTGTGTCTGTCTGTGAGTCCTTTTGTTCAAGAACTACTCCTAAGTGGTAAGAACTATGACCTTCAACTTTTGTATGTAGCTTCTTCTTATCCTAACTTAAAGTCAACCTTAGCCAACAGTGTGCCCTTGTAGCCAAGAAGGCAAATGGCATATTAGGTTGCATTAGGAGGAGCATTGCCAGCAGATCTAGAGAAGTGATTATTCCCTTTTATTTGGCTCTGGTGAAATCACATCTGGAGTATTGCGTCCAGTTCTCGGCAGAGATAAAATGTGTTTCTTCCGGTTTTCTTGGTTTGTATCTGCAATTGAAAGGCTCAATTTGATTACATATGGGTGCTAAAACGTACCTTTGATTGCAATCTGAATAATAATAGAATAGGATATAAACCTTCATGAAGAATGTATAGAAATGTAGTCATTCACAAAAATAATACCTGGTTAGCTTTTCTTTTATAGGTGTTTGAACAATCATTTGATGATAGCAAGATTAATTTTATTTATGGACAAGAGTGTGGCTTAGCAGATAGGGCATTGAAAGGCTTTGCCAGCATCCTGTTTTTCACTACAGCATGTAGCTACATGCACACTATCTACCACCATCAATGGTGTGCTATATGGACATAGCCCAAAGAACCTCATAAAAGACTGCATTATCTTTGTGATGAGAAAGGTAACAAAAAGAATATGCTTTAATAGGTATGGCACCTTCATTTTGCTCTTCTACACTCTGATTATTATACATGAAATGGAAATACTATAAAAGGATCTTATTATTACAGTTGCTAAATCTTAGGAGTAGTAGTGGCCTATTTCTGGAGCTTATTAATATTTTTATATTGGACCTTCAGGCAATAAGAAAGATGTTGGTATTTTTTCCTAACAGAATGCAATCTGCCAAACCAGTCACCCTATAGATCCTTTCAAGATCAACTCTGGAACACCATATTTAGTGCAAAAAATAAAAGAACCGACAAAAGATATAATTATGGTAAGCCTGTCTGAAATTCGTGAGGGTATTCATATAGAATGTTTTGTGTTTAATAACTCTAATAAATAGTAGTTATTAGTCGTTATTTCTCCCTATAATTTTATTTTGTATATTTTAACAACTGAAAGTGTTACCTTTAACTGTAACATGCTATATTTTGGGTTAATTTTTACTGAAAAAACTGCACTTGAAGCTGAAGTGCACATCAGATTGTGTCAGATCTTCAGCTTGTGCAGCTCTGTTGACTTCAGTAGAATGACTGCACCACAAGTAAGTTGGGGAGGGGTTGTCTTGTCTTACAGAGAAGGACAGCTCTGCTTAATGTTTGAAGCAGGGAGAGAGGCACAGAAGATGAGGTCAGAAACTTCTGCAAAGAGGTAGAAAGCACATAGTTTTCAGCTCTGAGCAGAAGCAGCTTCTTGGTTACATACAGCAAGCAAAACCAACACCCACGCTGGTGGCAGCAAACATTAGGTTGGGTTAGGATCTGCTATAAGCATTCTGCTAGGGAAGCTGGGAATGAATTTTTCCTGTGCTTCAGTTGATTGAGGATTTTTTTACCTTCCCCAAAGCAAGGGTCAAGGAGAACCTATATGGATACTAAGAAAGGTGGTAGGTCATATATTGCCACTTATTTCCTAAGGTTGAGCAGATGTTCAGTGCACACATTCCATAGGGAAGGCATCCAGGAACCAGATAAATTGCCTATGAGGACTCCTCTGATTTGGTACAGCAGGAAGTCAACTCCTTCCCCTTCTCCCCTTCCCATTCTCATTGCCTACCTTAACCCTCCTGAGGGTGGTGGATGGTAAGGTCCAAGCCATGGGCTGGCTGGGGACCTGAATGGAAATAAAAATGGCCTGGAGGAGCCCCACCCAGGTAGTTTTAAAGTAGCATGGATTGTCCTGCACTGTACATTTTATCTGCTGGGTAGTTCCAGATATCAGTATAATAAAGTTGCAGCCTGTTTAAAACCCATATCAAGCATCTTCTTTTGGTATATCCAGACAACTATACCTATTTACATCCATGTAAATCTTCTAGACTCATCCTTTTAGTCTAATGAGATAAATATTAAGTATTGTTTTAAAGGCCTGAACCTCCACTTCCTGGCAACTTTTAGTCATTTCCAACTGTGCAAAGCAGATCCAAAATGATAGTATTCTGCTATATTTTCCAGGAAGTTTATGTAGATATAAATGAAAGTGATTAGGTCCTTGATGGTAAGATTGTTGCAAGTTTATATAGATCAGTCTACTAAAAACTGAGTATTTAAAAGTCAATGTAGTATTTGTATAATTTTTTTGTCTAGATAAGCCTCAGTAATCCCTAGTCTTTTAATTTTAATAGCATGTAAAACTAACCTTTACAAATTCACTTGTCTATACATAGGATGTTTTATTTTAGAGAGTAATATTAAAATGTTTAATCACTAATTCCTGTCCATAAACATTTAAACAGGACTGCGATACATACAATTGTACATCTATTAATTGTACTTTGACTCCATCTGATATAACTCAAGTGAATATTTCATTAAGATTATGGAAACCTACCTTTATAAAAGTAAGTAAGCCTTTTCCACATTCAGTATAAGTATGCATTTGGAACAATATTAAGACAAATGTAATGCTTACATAGTTAAATATTTTTTAATCTTTAGTCTTTCAGTTTCTGAAATAATTTGCTTACTCTGTTATGAATTCCCTTGAAATTCACCTACATATATTCTCTTAGTACATCTACACAGCAACATTATTTTGAAATAACTACAGTAGTGTTATTTCGAAATAACAGTCCGTGTCTACACAGCAAACAGTTATTTTGAAATAATGTTGAAATACTCTCAAGCTGGAGGGCTTCTTACTCTGACTCCTGTAACTCTCATTGTATGAAGAGTAAGGGAAGCTAGAGGAAGAGTGCTCTATTTAGAAATAAGTGCTATGTAGATACTCCCAATTTTGAAATAAACTACTCAATTGGCGTAACTCAATTTGCGTAGCTTATTTCAAGTTAAGCCCTGCTGTGCAGATACACCCTTATTGAGGTATTCCGAACATCAGAATTAAAATGCATTTTCATCAGAGCTGTACAGAAAACAACTATTACCTATGTGTGATGTGATGCATTTGTGTACATAACCCAAAGTAGCATTTGGAGGATAGCTAATATTTCACATTACAAATTCATATTTCAGCAATTTACTCTTTCAAGACTCCATTTTCCTTTAAATATCTAAGCTTGCCTTATTTTTGGAGATATATTAGGCTCCATTCTTGCAAACACTTATGTATGTATTTAATTTGATGCTTATAAATTACACTTACATGCTTAGGACATTCAGGTATGCAATTTTTACAAGATCAGGGGTTTAAATACGTCCAGTCTTAAATTCATATTTTGTATTTCTTTCCCATAATGATAACTATACTTCAATTCTACAAGTACTGACAGTGCCTCACATGTTGCAGGATTAGGCCATAAGTCCATGTGTATTACTTCTCTGTCTCCACTGTAGTTTGAAACTTTCCCCAATTTAACATCAGGTGCAGAACACCATTTATCCACTCATCTAGATTTATTAATAAAATTGTTCAATAAGATTTGACTTAATCCAAGTAGCAGTCCACTATCCCCCTCTGAGATTTTTTGTATGCATCATTTCCTTTTGCTCTCCCATCACCCCACAAACTGAACCTAGTTCTATGCTGGGATTCAGTTCTGGAATTTCAGTCTTAAAAAATTAAATATAAACAGTAAGCTCTGTTTTCTTCCAGGGAAGTAATCATAGTTTAAATCTCATTGTGAGAGCACTACTTCAAAGTGAAAACTCATCGCTGATTTTGAGAAGAGACAATCAAAAACGTGAGGTACGTGCGACTATAGTCTGACACCCATGGTAGGATTTACCCAGTTAATGACATTTTCAGTATTTTATCTGCCACAATGAACCACACTCCTCTGAGGGAAAGGTCTATAATTTTCTATTTATTCAGAGTAAAAAATGTCAGAACTAGCTTAAAATAATACTGAATGGTAGAAAAAGCATGCTATTTATCAATGTATCTATGAAGTGGAAAATTATCCACCTAATCTAGATCTAACCATTGCTATAAATTAATGCTTCCGCTATCCAAGTGGATATGAGACACACTTAAAATGACTCTTTTAAAAACAATAATTTAAAATGCAGCTGTATAGGTAGTTTAAAACAAACATCCATTAAAAACAATTCTGCTTATGTAATATTTTCCTGTAATTCTATTTCCTCCTTTTCATAACTATAGTTATTTATGTGAAAATAAGACTTCATCTTTTAAAGCTTCATCCACCTTGACTATGCAGTCTTAATTTCAAATAGTTCTTAAGGCTTGACCAACTTCTATTAAAGTGCATAAGAGGCTTTTTTTCATTGCCTGATAATGGGAGCTAGTATAATCATCTCCACTATCTTATTGAGTATGTAACGTTTATTGAATTGTTTAAAGCATCTTATACTTTGTATAACTATACAAAATGAAGTTGTTATATTAATTTCTGGTTTATATAATATTGTATTAAATACACTGATAATCCTGTGTAAAAAAATCTTACTATATGTTACAGTGCAATGCCCCCAAGAATTTCTGAGCAACCTTCAGAATGAATTAATTTTTGTATAGAGTATTTTGGGAACTACAAACTGATTACATACAAATGATGAGCCATGAGTTCTTTACTTTATTTTACTATTTACAAATATAGTATAGTGTGTGGCTGGGTCGCCTTACGCCCTCCCTGGAATTTCTTCATGCCCCCCCCCAGGGGGGCACGCCCCCCAGTTTGGGAACCCATGTGCTAGAGGGACATTGCTGGTACTTGATCGCATATATCACAATAGTAGATGTGCTAGGCCCTGATGCTATGGCTTATGTGGTTAGGTCCTCTGATGGTGGTGTTTGTATAGATGTGTGGACAGAGTTGGCATTGGGGTTTGTTGCAAGGATTGGTTCCTGGGTGAGTGTTTCTGTGGTGTGGTGTGTGGTATGTGGCTGCTGGTGAGTTGTTCTTTCAGATTGGTGGGTTGTCTGTGAGCGAGGAATAGCCTGTCTCCCAAGGCATGTGAGAGTGAGGGATCATTTTCCAGGATAGGTTGTGGATTGTCAATGAGATGCTGGAAGGGTTTAAACTGGGGGGATGTAGGTGATTACTTTTGGTGTTCTGCTATTTTCCTTGTTGAGCATGTCCTGTAGTAGATGATTTCTGGGTCCTCATCTGGCTCTGTCAATCTGTTTCTTCATTTTCCCCCGTGGGTATTTTAGTTTTAAAAATGCCTGATAAAGATCTTGCATGTGCTCGTCTCTGTCTTTGGGGTTTGGAGCAAATCCGATTGTATCTTAAGGTTTGGTTATAGACAGTGGATCATGTGATGTGGGGATGGAAGCTAGAGCCAGGTAGGTAAGAATAGCTGTCAGTAGGTTTCCAATTTAGGGTGGTGCTTATGTGACCATCAGTTATCTGAGATAGATATCTATGTTCATGGTAGGGTTATAGTTTTACTATCATCCTGTACAGTAATTTCCTACCCACAAAATGAAACTATCAGGTACTCTTGTCATACTACAGTAAGTGATACAAGGTATGCTATTTTGTTACTTAGAGAAAATTATTTTTTTTACTATTTGCTTTGAAATAATTTTCAGATCATGATTAAAATTTCAAGAGAACTTCGCCCTGGAAGCATCCCTTTATGGGTCATTTTACTAAGTGCCTTTGCTGGACTTTTGATTCTTGCACTTCTTATATTTGCATTGTGGAAGGTAAGCTTTACATTTGTTTGTTTTGTATTTAAATTTTGATGTACTTGTGTGTTTAAGGGCTCAGATCTGGGTTCTTATCACTAGAATTTGACAAACATAATAAATCCCTTAATTAGTAAAATATCGTAATAAATCCTTAATGAAATTTCATTTTCCCTAAGTAAAATAGACCACTCTAATCATTTGTCTACAGTCAACATGCTCCAGTTTTCTAGCACAGAGGTTTCATTAAAATTAGATTGTTAAAATTCTTTCAAGAAAAAAAAGTGGGTTTTTCTAAGTTATGCTTAGAAAAAATGCCGCTTTGCCTTTTTTATCCTACTAGCAAGAGATTCTTCCAGCTTGTAAAATCATTTCTAGGCCAGTCAGTCTGGTCATGCTTCAGAGAATCAAAATAATGTAAGCTTCACTGAAATACCTCAGAGCCACTCTGTGGAACACTAATGTTGAGTCACCACAGTGAAGTAGATAAGGCATACAATACAGAATGGTAAGTAATTTAGCTGACTGTTCCTGGTTTCTCCTGCATTCCTCTAATTTTGAGTGGCTTACATTGAAATACAGTCTCAACAGTTCTTAAAAATCAGGAAAGCCAAAGTACCTCAGAGTCGGCCAAAAATACCTACTCATAATTATCACACATTACATCCAAGAATGTATGGTATGATCCTGCAAAATTATGAGCACTTCTTGCATCTGAGTGCTCTCTTCTCTCAGACCACTCTGAAGGAGTTTAGGTTCCTCAGCATCTTACAATGAGCATTTAAAACCTTGCAAGTCCTTTAATGATCCAAAGCCGTTTCAATATCCCTTGCAATAGACCACTGTTGTAATCATAAAGAGTAAATTATGATTAGAGTTACTAACTATTCCAAGCAAAATTTCTATGCCATAAAAAAGGGAGAAGAATCAAACTCCATAAAATTCATTAGCAACCTTGCTATTACCAGTCTGTTTTACACCTTTGAGTAGTAGCTTAGTAAAATTTGGTATTGTTACTGGGTCATAACATTTTTCTCTTAAATATAAAACAGTATATCTTAGGCTACATTTTTTAAAAAAATTGGCATTGTGAGAGCCATATGCAACAGTCTACATGCAATTTAACACATGGGTGCATGAAGATACACTGAACATGTAGAGCCATTTGAACATGTAATTAAACTGATTATATTCTTAAGTATTTACACGTACATTCTTTGATTTGCGTGTACACTCATGCTAGGCACAACATTTTGCTCATGTTTCTTCTGTAGATCTCAAGCCCTTATTTTTATATCATATATGTATAAATCATGAGTTAGGCTATAAAGTCAAAAGTGAATGGGTTTTTTTGGGGTGCTTGACTTGAGGCCTGATTATCAAAATGAGCTTTGCATTCACTGTCTGAAAACTAGTCCATTTTAAGGTATTGAGCTTAGCAACCGAAAACACTACTAAATTTCAAATGTAGGCATTAAATGTCACTAGTACCTATTAATTGTTTCTTAATCATTGCAGAGTTAAAATTAAGTAACTATGAAAACATCTCTAGTGCTTACATATTTACAAAATCAGCAGAATTAATAGAAAACTAGTAAATATTTTCTTTGTGACTGGATATGTTGAAGCCAAATTTCAAAAGTAGTCAGTACCTTTGCATCTTCAGAATTACACATTTTACAGTTCACAGAATATTTGACACACGAAATTATTAGATTTTTCATGCACAAAAGGTTTTGTCTGTGCCATGTTGCAGGTTGACAAAAACTGGTCTGTTATGATGATTCTGGGTGGAATAAATATAAGTTGTCTGTTACTCTCATCAACACTGAAAATAACATTATATTTGTTATTAGCTGAAAAATGAAACGGAGAGTGTACCGTTTATAAAAATATTGTTATTGACTTCAGACTTGATATTCCTCAGCAATTCAAATTTCAAGTTATAATTTAAAGACATTCCGCTTTACTGCTGTGCTTAAATATTTTGCCACAAGTGGGCAATCTTCTCCAAGCCAAATCTCAGTATGCCCAATTAGCATGTTAGTAATTAGTATGAATTGCTACTGGAAAATCTGGAATTTAAATGGTAAACTAATGTTTACTCAACAGACTTCCAAGTATTATTAACTTGTCTGAAGACCTGACAAATCTTTGATACTTTCTGTCAGCATAACAATGATTTAGCAATCATTGTGCATTAACTTTGCTCTTGGTTTGTCTGTTAGCATGAGATATGCCATTATTGTTTTAATCCATTAAAGCAACATTTATACTTCAGTGATAAGTGAATTTGTATCATCTGCAAGCATTAAAATAGTAAATAAAAATATTTAAGGTTTGTTAAAATGTCATGTATGTTTCTAAACCTTTGGTTTTGAATTGCATTCTTTTTTCCTCTCGTATACAGGCTGGATTTTTCAAAAGGCCACTAAAGAACAAAATGGAGACATGAATACTTCCAAAGGAAAATATGTTGCAATTAAACAATGATCTGTCCTCAGGTCTGTCTCAAATATCTGACTGTAAATCTATAAATATAGTTATAAATTTGATGGTCACAGCATTTTCTGAACTCCATCATGGACTAATCAAGGTGTAGTTTAAAAAAAAAAACAACAACAAACAAATCAAGTATATAGGTGAATGTTTATAAGGGAAAACAACAACCATATAGTATTTTATAATATGTTAAAAATATCTTAAGCTGTTACTCATTTTTGGAGAGTAAATCAA